GGAAGGGCCCTGACGCCAGCAGAAGGTGACAATAATACATCAAAAGTGGATTCAGGAGAGAGATGAAAGTCCTGCCTGAAGGAACATCCCTCAGGCTGGAAGTTATTGCATCCCACATTTCCTCTTCTTGGAAAGAGGGAAGTTTTCAGGCCCTGACGTTGCTGCGGGTGGATTTTTCCTATATCTGCCAGGCCGGCTCTGGCCTTCGCCCCCAGGCCACATGACACAGCGCTCCCTGAGGACGTTTCCCATGGGAGCAAACTGTATTTTTTAAAGCCACTTCCCTTGCCGAGTCCCATGGATGAACAGCCTGGCCAGTGCCACCCCAAGACCCCAACCACTCCCAACACTGATGGCCGGGCCAGGCACCATGAGACTGTTTCTGCCACCCGGTTTGGGCCAGGAGCAGCCCAAATGCTCCTGCAGGAGCCCATCCACCCCGAGCGGGGACACGTCCCAGCAAAGAGGGGTTCAGCCAGCTCCTCCACAAGGCCTCAGCCCAGCACACACCAGTTCCCGAGCCCTGTCCCCAGGACCCCACGTTGCTCCTCCCGAGCACATCCCTCTGGGATGCATGCTGTAAGGATGCACGTCCCGCTGTGGGGCTGTGAGACCCCACGGCAGCCCAGGGCTCCCCAAAGTGCAGGCTGAGGAGCGGAGATAGAGGTCGTGCCCAGAGGGATGAACAGCCCCAAAACGCAGGCTGGGACCCCCCGGCTCAGCACCAGGCACCCCCACCTTGCTGCAGGGACAGAGCAGGCAGGAGAGAGCGGGAGCCTGGATCCATCCCCATCCCAGTGCTGTGTCTCCCATGCTCCGGTCCCTCTGGAGAAGCCCCAGCCACTGACATGGCTTGGCCACTGGCCACTCAGACACACACCGGAGCAGGATCAGGGCCACAAGAACCTGCTAAAGTAACTCGGGAGTAGGAGATGCACCCGAGAGAGCAGCAGAGGAGGGTCCCAGGCACCCAGATGGTCTCACCACCTGCTCGGGTGAGGGCAGGACGGCATCACCCTGAGCGTCCCCCTCTGTCCCCATCCCCGTCCCCAAACCTGTACCTTCGATGCCGCTGATGATTTTGAAGCAGCGGGTGGTGAACCAATAGGAGATGAGGAGGAGGATGGCGATGAGGGAGGCATAGAGCAGGCTGTCGTTGTGCAGGGATGTCCTCTCCATGGCTCCATCCCCTCTGCC